GTTTCTGCTTAATTCTTAACCATCTCCAGGAAGGACCTGTTTGCTTTTCTGTCATGTGTTTCAGGTTTCATTCCCCATGTGCCAAATGTGTCCAAATAGCTATTTATGCACTCTCACCTGTGAGAGAAGACACACACACACACACACACACACACACACACACACACACACACACGGTTGATTTTTGTGCTGTGAACACTGAATTAGCAAATCCTGAACCATTACTTCCCAGGAGAAATATAGGGCTAGATTCCTGCAAGCCTCTCATCAGATACCACCAGCAAATCTGTCTAGAATCTTTTTTATGTGTGTTTCTGTTTAAAGACGACTTATTTAACAGATTATTGAGGAGCACCATAACTCATGCTTGGATAAGCTGATCTAACACATGTGTTCGCCATGAGGCACCTCACAACCTTTTTTGCACTTAGAGCACTGGACAGCACTTCAGCACTATGCTTGGGGGCCATTTAAAATAACAAAATCAAACTTAACCGATTTGACTCAGTGGATAGAGCGTCAGACTGTGGACAGAAGGGTCCCAGGTTCGATTCCAGTCAAGGGCATGTATCTTGGTTGCGGGCACATCAGCAGTAAGGGGTGTGCAGGAGGCAGCTGATCGATGTTTCTCTCTCATTGATGTTTCTAACTCCCTCTCCCTCTTCCTCTCCCTTCCTCTCTATAAAAAAATCAATAAAATATATTTTAAAAAGTAAAATAACAAAATCACCAAAAAGCACAACAATGTGAAATATGTGGCAGTAAATAGACTGTGAGGACACCTATTTCTGTCCTCTCAGCTGGGAATGTGTGTGGAGCAACTCAGTTTTTTCACTGCTCTGCACATGTCCTCAGATGATGCCGAAAGTGCTGTCAAAGGTGTTCCAATTCATTCTGAGGACCAGTTACAATATCCACACAACTAGGTTTTGATGAAACTATTGCTTTTGTAGACAACTATGTGCTTTTGTAAAGGACTTGAGCAATTTTGTAGTTGAAGATAAATTTTAGTAAGTAGGGGAATTTGCATGTACAGAGTGCATGATTAATGAGGATTGACTATCCTATATAATAAAAGCCTAATATGCAAATTGCCCCATTCATCTGGAGTTCCACTGGGAGTTTCACTGCTCGACCAGTTGCTATGATGCGAACTGACCACCAGGGGGCAGACGCTCCAACCAATAGGTTAGCTTGCTACAGGTGCTGGTGGATGGACAGGAAAGTGAGGTGTGAGATGAGAGCCAGCAGGAAGCTCCCAGGGTTGGGGTTGGGATTGGGCGAGATGGCCTTGATCTACCCTGATTGCTGGCCAGGTGGAGGGACCCCACCTGTACATGAATATCATGCACCAGACCTCTAGTATAGAGAATAAAGTTTGGCAAGCCTTAGATATGGATCTATCAGAAAGCCTGATATATTTTAGATTTTAACATATCAGAAGCCTTTTTTCCCACAGAGGGGGAAACCAGCAAGAGATGTGAAGTGTATTACAATAATTTTAATTTTGTATATCAAAGAGGACAGACATCACAAGTACCTCTTAGTCCTGCAGGGCACCTCAGAAGGCTACTCCTCCATTTCCCTGCTTTTGTTGGGATTTTGTCGTGGCCATCAGAGATTGTCAGCATCACAGAGATCATGAAGAAGCTTGTCAACTATTCTTTCTTTAATCAAATAATTCCTAAAGTAGCATCACCTTTGGATAGGTTTCCAGAGTCCGAATCTTGGAAGAAACTTGGCAAACACTTGCTGTTTATTGAATGGGATCCCTCAGGTCAACCTGCTACTTATATTGTCCTTATCATAGCCCTTTCTTCGTAATATGCTCTCAGATAACTATTTCTAAAATTGTGATCCCCAACTTGGGGTTCCTAATGGTCCTTAAAGGTGTCTGAAGTATGTAATTGAGCTGTTTTAAAAGTCTTTCCAGAAATACATTTCATTAAGATGAGACCTCACAGGATAAATAAATGGCAAGTTTTTCTTTTTATAAATTTGCCCAGAATCCTACAATGATAATTCTATGTGATACTATGTATGCTGCTAATATCATCTATCACTCAGACATGTCTTTTACAAAAAGCAGACCATTGCTCAAATGATTGTTAAATTGTTTCAGTTGTTTACTAACTTTTCAAAATATATTTCAGAAAAATATGAGTTAGATAATGGAAATGTTCTTTGACGGTTAAAGGATAGAAAAGCATTTATCTAAATGATTCTATAATAATTACATGGTTTTTCATTTAAATAGTTGTAATTTTTATTATAATGATTTTTACAGTGCCACAATTTCCTTTGAGCAAAGCAGTCCAATCTCATTTAAAAGGGAAAACTAAATAAGAGAAAAGCAATTGTGTTTATCTAGAAACTAAAAATTGCCCTAAGGATTCACTCTTTATCTCTGTCCATTCTTCCAACACAGCTCTGCTGATTCTCAGAGGGCCTCTAGCACAGGCATGTTTCTGGAAATTCATCTTTCCTTTGTGGAACATTTTTTCTTTCTCTGAGAATTAGTCTGGACCCAACTAAAGCGACACAAAAGGGAGCAGAGATCTGCCAATTCCCAGGCACATTGTTTCTGCTGAAATTCTTTTTCATGCATTTCTTCCATTCCAGCCGTAGTGCCATCCTGAACACAGCTGGTAACACACTTCTTGGTCAATGGCAAGGTTACAGCCTTGTTTTTTTGCTTTGAGAACAGGAATGCGGGGAGGAGGAAAGAGCAGCAGAATGAGACCTCAGGCTCAATGCTCCCACTTGATTCCCCGGACATATTTTTAAGTAGGGGTGTCGAACTCAATCAGAGAAGGGGCCAAAATCTAAAATCCAGCCTAAATCGCGGGCCGAATGGTTTACTGAACAGTCATAAACTGTCATTGTGATGGAAACGCAGCGGAGTGCAGTGATGACAGCGCGGTGCGGGCCACATTGCAAGGCCTGGCGGGACGGATTTGGCCCGCGGGCCTTGTGTTTGACACATGTGTTTTAAAGGCTTTGAGGACCAGATTGTCATTGTTTTGGAAATAAAATAGAAAAATTCATGCTCGCTGAGAGACTTCACCGTTATTAGTGCTAAGGCCCAGGCCCTCCAGCCACCCCCAAAATGCTCAGCTTCTCTCATCAGACCACTTATCACTGCCTCCCTTCATTCTATTTCTGCTCTTCAGACCTAGAATGGCCCTTCTAGTCTCTGCTTACTAAAGCTCCTTCTTCACATCATTCATGAAGTTCCGGAACCACTCCCTTCTAAGCAGCCCTCTAGAACTCAGAAGGCCAGAATCTCATCCTTCCCAGTCCAAATACAGAACTCCAGACTTCCTCATCTACTGCTTCACTAAAGCCCCCACGATTTAAATGTGAATAGTTAGAGACTTACATTGTATAATGTTGCTAACTTAAGTGTTTGGTGTGTCTTCATATCAGTGATGTAACATCTTGCCATGTGAATAATGAATACTTAAATTCATCTTCATTTCATAGGCCAAATAGAAACTTGAAATTGCCCTGGAGTGAAAGCTATCACTTTATAATTTAATAAAACAGCCCTGAATAGACAATGGGTTGGGCAGCTGCATTCACCAAGTTTCTGCGAATGAACCCTCACTCCCACACCCTGACCCTCGATGCACCCTTTAAGATGTTGGCTACACACTTACAGAAATTCTGTGTAGTCTCAACGCCTCTTTTTGAATGCCTTTTGTTGACTGGCCCTCCTATACCCACCTCCAATCTGACCTGTCACATTACAAACACATAGAGTCTCTGACACTGTTCAAGCACACCCCTAGTTTCTACCTCTATCTACTTTGCTTTGCATTAGAACCTGTCTTAATGGTAACAGCAGTGTCTGGAAGACAGTTCCCTGCTCTAAGGGTATAATACCCACCTACCCTTTTCTTGGTGGTATCACCAGGTTCCTTGAAAAAGGATTTGGAAAGTGTTAGTTTGTAATGGACAGTCTGGAGTGGATAAACTCCTTAGGGTGGTTACTTGGACAGTCATTTCCTTGAGTAGGAAATCAAGACTAATTCCGTGGTGTGGGGAAGCATTTTGCATGCCAAGAGTTTCTCCAAGTTATTATATTTAGGCATACTAATTGAGTGCTTTTTGTTTTTTGGAATAAAAATATACCATTTTATCATATCAAAGCTCCTCCATATCATTCCATTGGCCAGTTACAATACCCATACAGTTTGAATTTGACAGAACTATTGCTTTTGTAAATGCCTTTGGTCAATGTAGTCAGTACTCATTGCAAATGTTACAGATGGGATACATGAGCGATATGCAGCATTTGAAAAATTATTTCTACAAAGAAAAACAATGGAAAAGGAGAGGAAACAGAGCAGATATAGAAATGGGGACATCATTATCAGCAAAAAAACCTGCAAGTAGTTGAAACAGGTTTGGCTCAGTGGATAGAGCCTCTGCCTTCGGACTGAAGGGTCCCAGATTCAATTCCGGTCAAAGGCATGTACCAGGGTTGCGAGCACATCCTCAGTAGGGGGTGTGCAGGAGGCAGCTGTTTGATGTTTCTCTTTCACTGATGTTTCTTTCTATCCCTCTCTTTTCCTCTCTGTAAAAAAATCAATAAAATATATTTTTTTAAAAACCTGCAAGTAGAAGAATGGTTAAAGAAGTTGGGAATGCAGACAACAGGATGGAGAAATAAAAATGATCCTCATTGTCTGACTGGCACAGTACTGATGGGCACTACAATGCTGAATGTGCTGGTTTAGGCTAACTTTCCACTGGGCTTGCAAATAAGCACACAGTTTTCCCAGCCCACAAAATGTTATTAACAGACAAGGGCAAGTCATATAAGGAAGATAAGACAGAGGAAAAGAATCCAATGTCTTTTTCTGACCATGAACTTATAAAACCTTCATAAGAGTACATTAAAAACAAGTTATTGAAATAGAAGAATTTTAAAAAAGTATATGTCTCATATATTGTGTTTCTACAAAAAAGTTTCACAAGATGCCCAAATGTGCAATGTATATTTCAGTGCCTTTTAATTTTCGCTTGGCAAATAAGCTAGAGGAAAGATTTTATTTGTATGCTTAATTAAGTCTTGTACCTGATATGATTCATACCTTTGGGAAAAGACAAATGTCTTTATGAAAATGCAGTAAACACTCTCCTACATCAAGTGTCCTTGTATGAGATATACCGCTGTAGAAAGTTTAAACCTACTAGTACTCACAGATAGGATATGACAATAGGGAAATACATTTTTTTTTTTTAGAGAGACTTTAACAATAAATGTTTACAGCAGGGGCTGATCATCAGCCTGTACGGTAGATGAGTCTTTGGAATGTTTAACAGACATCTATCACAATTTGATCTGTGGCTTGAGTCACAAGTTCTCTTTCTGAGCATCTTTGCTTGATAGAATCCCAGCAGAGCTCAAGTTCCTGGCGAGTTTAACAATCCTCTTCTGCCAGCGTGGTGATACATAAGGGTTTAGTGCTTGGATGTCAGAGTAAGTGTTGATGATACACGGAAGATCTGGGGAAGCATGTTACTAAGTTGGTAAAACATTTCTTCAGAAATACTCTGTAAGAGGTTAAAAAAAAGTTTGTATTTGTTAAATCATAACCGAGTTTTTAAACATTTAAAATAGTTTAAATAATGAAACTAGTTCTAGACATGGAGTGCAATATGTAAAAATTATCTATCATGACTGGTTTAACTGCACAGCTAAGGACTGGGGTGTTTTCCTCGCTCCATCCTCTGAGAACATATGTTGTTCCTATCAAATAAGGTCTGATGACCAGAAAGACCCTAGATAACACTAGTCTAATCAATTATAAAAGTGCCACTGATTTGCCAAGGGCCACACAGAATACAGAACCACTTTCTGCTGATGCCCTTATATATGAGCTCTTCAAAAACTATATGACATATATGTGGGGGGAAAGGGTAAATGAGTTAAGTTTGGTTTTGGGGTTAAAAAGATTCCCTGAATGGTAGATGCTAACATCACTGAAATAAACTAAGTGCCTTTATGGCATCCAAACACTTAAAAAAGAGGAAGCTGTTAGCATTTTGTTATGTTATACTGAGTTAGGGCAGTGTGCTCACTACATCTGGGAAGAATACTGTAACAGAGATTAAACTGGGGTGAGATATAGTAAGATAACACACCTGTGGAACCAGAAATTGCACTGTCCTAGAAATTCCTCCATCCCATGAAGCCATTTCCATCATGAAACCTAAAACAGAACAATAGACTTTGCTGAATTATGAGTTCTACTTCAAGCCTACCCAGCTCTTTATAGAAATAAACTGAATTTTCATTGTGGGGCTTCATGTCTTGACTTTTTAGGTAATCATTTACTGTAAGAGAGGCTCAGCTACAGGGCAGATAAACATCTGTAACGTGAATTTGCCACACCAGACATGTTTAACGTCACTTTGACAACACACTGACTTATGATTTCTCAAGTACTATTCAGTCTCCATACAATAAAGGCAAAATAGGTTAGCAAAGGCTAAATATATGGCTCTATTTTTTCAAAGAATAAAAGACAATAAAGAACAAGCTATAATTATAATCAGAGCAAAATATAAATAATATCAAAACATCTTGCATTTGAAGAGGGCTGAATAGTTGTGTCTAGGAAAGGATAAGTAAAACCGTCTGCTATGAAATATTTGCTTGATAAACCATTTATTGAGGCACCCGATGATGAGTAATGTTTACATTTTTTTCTCCTGGGTTGCTCTATTTTGAATATTTGGGAGAAAGAAATATAAGTTGTTGTTAAATATAAGGTTATGCTCACCTTTGACACACTTAAACACAAGTTCTGCTCTTCTTAAGCACCATGGTATAGTCATTTCCTAGAAACAGAAACAAATCTTATTTCTAAAGAACTCTTAAAAAATACATACTTAGATCTTAATTTATCTATAATGTTGCTCATCCAGTTTGTGAACAAATTCAGGCAACTATTAGTTAATTTCAGCTGGACTTCTGTGTGTGTGTGTGTGTGTGTGTGTGTGTGTGTGTGTTTTAAGCACATGACTTCTTCCATTTGCTGTACTATATGTACCGTGCTCCCCGAAAATAAGACATCCTCCGAAAATAAGACCTAGCACAACTTTGGGAGAAAAAATTAATATAAGACACTGTCTTATTTTCGGGGAAACAGGGTATTTATTGCATTAGAACTAAAACTAATAAAAATCTTGCTGACTGCCTCCTCCCCCAAAACAAAACAAAACAAAACAAAACCCAGAAAGGACTAGGATTCTGGGGGAATTTTCAGAACACAATTTAAAAATTGTTGTTTTATTGAACTAATATATCATAATTTATTTAAACAGCCCTTTATAGCTAGATTTCCATTTTTAAATAATATTACAGTGAATGTATTTATGCATATGTGTGACTATATATATATATATATATATATATATATATATATATCTGTATTTTTTAAAAAACTTATTGATTGACTTGAGAGAGAGGGAGGAAGAGGGAGACAGAGAGACTTATTGTTCCACTTATTCATATACTAGAGACCCAATGCACGAATTCATGCACCAGTGGGGTCCCTCAGCCTGGCCTGCAGGATATGGCTAAAACCGTCTCTCCAACATCCCCTAAGGGGTCCCGGACTGCTAGAGGTCGCAGGCCAGGCTGAGGGACCCCACCGGTACATGACTGGGGCTGGGAAGGGATGCAGGAGGTTGGCAGCTGGGGAGGGACCACAGGAAGGCTCCAGGGTGTGTTTGGCCTATCCCAATCAGCCTGACCCCACCAGCAAGCTAACCTGTTGGTAGGAACATCTTCCTCCATCAGTGCACGTCATAGTGAGTGGTTGAGCGGCCTTAGCATATCATTAGCATATTACATTTTGATTGGTTGAATAGCCAACCAGACGACCAGACACTTAGTATATTAGGCTTTTATTATATAGGACTAGTGTACTGTTGCATGAAATTCGTGCATGGGGGGATTGTCCCTCAGCTCGGCCTGCACCCTCTCCAATATGGGACCCCTCAATGGATGTCAGCTGCCTAAACCAGCAGTTGGACATCCCTCTTGCAATCCGGGACCACTAGCTCCTAATTGCTCACCTGCCTGCCTGCCTGCCTGATCGTCCCTAACCACTCTGTCTGCCGGCCTGCTTGCCCCCAACTGTCCCTCCCCCCTCTTGCTGGCCTGATTGCTCCCAAGCCCAAGCCCTTCCCTCCCAGCCTACTTGCCCCCAACTGCCCACCCCCCCCGCTGGCCTGATCACCCCCAACTGCTCTCTCCTTCTGGCCTGATCACCCCTAATGGCCTCTGCCTTGGTCCTGCCACCATGGCTTTGTCCAGAAGGACATCTGGAAGGTCTCCTGGTCTAATTAACATATTATTCTTTTATTAGTAGAGATTCATTGGTTGATTCTTGTATATGCCCTGACCAGGGATCAAACCCAAAACCTTAGTGTATTGAGACTATGTTCTAATCAACTGAGCTGCCTGGCTAAGGCTCTATATCTTGTTTTTGAATAACTTATTGGTATACTTATAAAATTTAAGTCCTTTTTCTAAAAGTTAGATCAATTTACATTAGCCATTAGCAATGTATGCACCATCCAATTTCAGCATATGTTCACTAGCACCTGGATATTTAAATGTTACTTAAAATATTATTTGACATTATTATTAATTTAATAGATCCAAAATGGCATTACTGATAGTTTTTTAAAATGAGACTTTATTTTTTGAAAGTTTTAGGTTTACAAAATATTATGAAAATGGTACAGAGAATTTCCCTATCCTCTCACACCCAGTTTCCCCTACTATTAACTCCCACTCTCATTACTATTAACTAATATATTACTAAGAGTGAGTCAGTTTAGTTACCTATCAAGTATAAAGAGAACAGATTATACTAAAAGACTGCAGGGAAATTCTTTAGCAATTCTAATACACACTTTAATAGCTAATAACTCAATTTTGAAAATGTATTTTAATAAACACTGCCTTTATAATTATTCAAAATATGTGTATATATATATTTTTGGGACACTATACATACATATATATGGGTTACTACAACTAAATTCTTTTCTACACTGTGAAGTAATCCTATTTAATAAAAAGGTAATATGCAAACCAACCATCACTCCATGACAAAGATGGCAGCGCCCATAGCACCAAGGCCATGAAGGATGGGCTGTGGACACAAGGCAGGGCTGCTGGGCTGGGGGCATACTCCGAGCTGCTGCCATGTGGCTTGGGGCATGTCCCCAGCCCAGTGGACACAACGAGGGGCTGCCAGTGGCCACCATGCAGCTTGGGGCACACCCCTAGTCCAGCGGACAGAAGCCCACCAAATAGAACGTGGGGCTGCTGGGCTGGGGTCTGCCCCAGGCGGCTGCTTCGTGGCTCAGGCACACCCATGGCCCCGCGGACAGAAGCCCAGCAGACAGAACGCGGGGCTGCTGGGCTCCGTGGGGCTTAGGGCACACTCCCATCCCAGCAGACTCAAGTTGTCTGAACCATTTTTTAGTTTTTTTTTTGTTACCTTTACAATACTTCTATAATACTGAATATATAGATGTTCAGAACCTTAGGTTGAGCGAATCACTGTTTCATTCATGGAAATCTAAAAAGAAAGCGACTTTCTTTACAAAAAGACTTTGATAGGAAACTACTTTTTGTGAACAAGATACTTTAAAATTGACAAATAAAAAAGGGTCTAGTTACTGAGAAGGCTAAAAGGTACAGAATCCTCTTTTCCAAAGCTCTGGAAGCTTATGAAAATAACTAGTGAAATTTTCTGATATTTACATTATATTTACAATACTTCTCCAATTCACAGTTCACAAAAAGGAACAGTGCCTTATGGGAGTACACACATGCACAGTGATAAGTTTTTGTATTTTGACTTGTTCCTCCAAGTTTAAAAAAATAATGTACAGAGAGAGCAAGGTGACTAAGAAATATCTACCTACAGCTAAGAGGAAATACTGATAGTTCTTAAAACTACAATAGTAAGTCTTATGTTTTCATGGAATTTTAACTGTATATAATTTATATTTCACCAAGAAACCTTTATTTAAAAAAAAAAAAAAGACACAAAGAAAGGTACAGTCAATCATCCAAGGCCATGGGACAGTCTGAGATGTGCATTTTCATTTTCTTAATAGTATCTTCTGATGAAAAAGGTGTTATATTTTAAGTAAGTATGATTTATTTAAGTTTTTCTTTTATGGCTTTTGTGTGTATGTGTGTGTGTCCTAACAAATCTTTGCTTAACCTGATGTCATCAAGGTTTTCTTTTATGTTTTCCTCTAGAAGTTTTATAGTATAAGCTTTTTTGGTTTAGATCTAGGATCCCTTTGAAGTTAATTTGTATGTGAGGTAAAATTCAAGCTTATCTTTTCCATATGAATATCCAATTCTTCAAACACTAGTAGTTGAAAACACTACCCTTGCCCTGCTGGTGTGGCTCAGTGGTTGAGCACCTATGAACCAGGAGGTCACAGTTCAATTCCCAGTTGGGGCACATGCAGGGTTTCAGGCTCAATCCTCAGTAGGGGGTGTGCAGGAGGCAGATCAATGACTCTCTCTCATCATTGATGCTTCTCTCTCTCTCTCTCCTTATCCCTTCCTCTCTGAAATCAAGCCTAGGCAGATCCAGCCGCACCGCTTGCCTGCTGCTGGAGTCCCCCAGTCCTTTCATAGAAAATGGGTTGCCTCAAAAGTTGGTTAAGCTTCTTAAAAAAAAAAGCACTCAAAATCTTTGAAAAGGGAATTCTGCCAAACCGCTAATACTGCCCGTTCTCAGCAGCTGCTGTGTCCCTCGCCCCTCACACCCGGGACTGGGGGAGTCTGGCAGGGCTGAGAGGACTGGGCACCGCCATCTTGTGGCTATGGGCACTGCCATCCTTGTGACACAGTGATGGTTAATTTGCACATCACCATTTTATTAGATAGGATGGGATATATAACATAGCGAGCTAAGTAAGAGTATATAAAGTTTTTATCATGGCAAAGTGACAACCTTACCGTCACACCTGTGAGAATGCACTGTGAAAGAAATACATTGATGCCCTAGCTGGTTGGGCTCAGTGGATAGAGTGTCAGCCTGTGTACTGAAGGGTCCCAGTTTGATTCTAGTAAAGGGCACATGCTTGGGTTTTGGGCTCAGTCCCCAGCAGGAGGCAACTGATCAATAATTCTCTTTCATCATTGATGTTTCTCTCCCTTCCTCTCTGAAATCAATCCATATTAATAAAAGCCTAGGTGGCCCTCATGCGACATTGTCCAAGACGGTCGCCACAAGATAGCCACCACAAAATGGCACGTGCACAGTGGAGGCAGGGTCTGGTGGCCGCTCTGCGTATTGAAGTCCTTCAGCTCTACATAGTATAGAGGAGGCCAGTTCCGGTGGAGGATGCAGGTTATGGCAGTGGAGGATGCGGGTCATGGCAGGGGAGGGCAGTTTTGGGTGATCGGGCCAGAAGGGGAGGGCATTGGGGGCGATTGGGCCAGCAGGGGAGGGCAGTTAGGGGCGATCTGGATGGTAGGGGAGGGCAATTGGGGGCAATCAGGTTAGCTGGAGAGGGCAGCTGTGGGCCATCAGGCCAGCAGGGAAGGGCAGTCGTGGGTGATTGGGCCAGCAGGGGAAGGTAGTTGTGGGCCACTGGGTTGGCAGGGGAGCAGTTAGGGAGCTATCAGGTTGGCAGGCAGAAGCAGTTAGGGGCAATCAGACAGGCAGGCAGGTGAGTGGTTAGGAGCCAACAGTCCCAGATTGTAAGAGGGATGTTCGACTGTCTGACCCCTGCAGTATCAGGCCTAAACTAGCAGTCAGACATCCCTTGAGGGGTCCCAGATTAGAGAGGGTGCAGGCCAATTAAGGGATACCTCCCCCCCCCCCCCCCCCCCCGTACACAAATGTCGTGCACTGGGCCTCTAGTAAAAACATATTTTAAAAAAATAAATACTTTGAAAAAGCTGAATGGATCATGTGAAACACTTCAGACTTTGGAACTGAGGCAGAAAAAACTGGGCCCTATGGCTATACTTTAGATGATAAATGGGAACTGAACACACAGAATAAATCCTAAATTTGTGAAATTAAAATGTCAATTCTGATTAAACTGCAGACAGTACTGTCTAAAGTTAATGGCCATACCTTGATGACTCAACTTGAATCTTCTGATTAGGATAAGGCTAACTGCAGAGGTTACTATGCTTTAGATGTTATACAGGTCTTCACTGTATGTCTTGGAAGTTAGATATCAGAATTATTTCATGAGTTTTTGAACAGGAAGGAAATTGCAAAACTATTCTTTACTCCCCAGTATGTGGCACTGAGGTACCTGAAATACTTGTATTAATCTGTTCCACAGTCATTATCAGAAGGTGAGAACTACTCTGGTTTTCTCACTTTTCATATTCAAAAGCAATGGCAGATTACAACCACTCTGAGGATGTATTTGATTGTATCTAACAAAATGGAATATATGCATACCCTGAGACCTAACAATTCCATCCCTAAGTATATGCCCAACAGAAATGCCAACATGTATGTATGGAATGTTCACAGCAACATATGTCATAATAATCAAAGCCTGGAAACTATCCAAATATCCAAAAATAGTAAAACAGTAATAGTAAAGTTGTAGGCTCTGTGCTTACAATTCACAATGGAATGACATATAACAATGAGGATGAAGTCTACAACCACAAGTAGTAATATATTGATTTCAGGGAGGAAGGGAGAAGGAGAGATAGAAACATCACTGATAAGATAGAATCATTGATCAGCTGCCTCACTGATCAGCTGCCTCCTGCATGCCCCATATCAGGGATCGAGCCCACAACCTGGGCATGTGCCCTTGACTAGAATCGAACCCAGGACCCTTTAGTCCGCAGGCTGATGCTCTATCCACTACACAAGTGGTAATATAAATAAATTTCATAAACATAAGATTGGGTGATAGAAGTCAGATAAGGAGTATGTACTATATAATTCATTCTGCTTAAATGAATTATAAAAACACACCAGATAAGGAGTATGTACTATATAATTCATTCTGCTTATATTATTATAAAAACACACCTAACTAATTTCTGCTTTTCAAAGTGAAAGTTGTGTTTACCTTTTTGGGGGGACTGTGGTTCACATGATTGGAAGAGAACATGAGGGCGGCTTCTGGGTGCTGGTAATGTTCTGTTCAATGATCTGGGTATTTGTTACATTGGTGTTCAGTTTGTGAAAATTTGAGATATATTTAGGATATATGTATTTTTCTATGTGCATTATACTGTAACAAAAAGTTTAAAACAAACAACCTCTTCACCAACCACAATAATTATAATTAAAATCCCTATGTCCCAGATTATTCAACAAATTAATAGTAAAAATAAAAGAAAGTTAGCCTGTTTGCTCGGTGGATAGAGCATTGGCCTGCTGACTGAAAGGTCCCAGGTTTGATTCTGGTCAAGGGCACATGCCCAGGTTTTGGGCTTGATTCTCAGTAGGGGGAGTGCAGGAGATGGCTGATAATTGATTTTCACTCATCACTGATGTTTCTACCTCTCCCTTCTGAAATCAATTAAAAAGGAAAAAAAAAAAGTAGGATTCTTGACTTGCAGGTTCATTCCAGGTCTATCAGGTTAGACTGACTCCAGGATGACAGTATCTTCAGATCACAAAGATCTACACAGATAAAACTACTAATATCAGTATATTTTTCTTCTTACTGACATACTATTGTTTCCTTTGTTAAAAACAACAACAACAACACACTACAATTTCTATAGTTCTTTTTATTTACTATAATCTATAGTCTGTTCTAGATATTACCATCATGCACACACTAAAATGTGGTAACTGAGTGTCTAGCAATTCTGTTAGAGAAAGAAAACAATACCTGAAAATGCAGGAAACCTAAGACAAATATTACCACTATATCCTGTGTAGTGTTGTCTGAATTTATAGAATAAACTTCTTGACCTGAATGGATGTTTAAATACAACAAATGGTAAGATCATGGCCCAATATACTTTTGTGAATTAAAATGGACACTTTGGAAACAAACTTAATGTTCTGCAGCTGGCTGTCCCGATTTAAAACATGTAACTTTTGTAACCTCGTGGGAGAGGGAACGCTGGTAGTATCAGATGTCTGAAGTAAATCCGAACTTAATGACTTTTGGAAACACTTCTTTGAGGTTGTTTCCCACCTACATATGACCATTTTTATAAACTGGTTAACCAGGAACCCAGCTGCAGGAATGTTTGAATGTTTTCTTGTGGCTGGAATTCATTACGAACTTTCTTTGTTATTCCCCAAGAGCTCGTTTATATATGGACTAATTAGTGATGATAACCTAACAATGGCTAAAAAATTCCTGATGGAATTAAGACTTTATAAAGCTACGGTGGGGGGAAAACGTGTTGATGTCAATCTCCTGATACCATATTAGGTATGACAGGCTACAGAAGTGAATGGAATGAGAGGTTAGAAAGCATGAGGCAACTTTCAGTATAGAGCCAGAATTCTCTTAATCAAAACGATAATGTGTCTGGTGAAAATACAAATGGACTATAAGTGGAGAATCATCTTGCCTTATATGGCAATGGTTTGTGTTTGTGTGTGTGTGTGTTTACATAGGGTATTGCATTTAAAAATGAGGTCTCTTATAATCAGTCTAAGTGGAGGCTCAGTCACTCTAAAAAGCAAAACATAAAATATTTTACATACTTTACCATAAGCATTAACACACATCTTTTATTTTAGTAAATAACTTCTAATAATCAATGGTCAAACTTCCTTCCTGACATTCACAATCTGCACTTACCAATTAGCCATTTTACTTAAAAAAAAAAAAAAAAAAAAAAAAAGGCCACCTCAAGACAGGCAGGCAGGCACCAGGTTATTGACATGGGCCCAGGTTGCCCCTGACTCTCCCAGAAGGACATGCCTGCATCCATTTGTTTTGAGGCTGCTTTGTTCCTCCAGACTATGTGAAATTTAATTTTTAGTCCTTGCATTATTTCTACCACTTAGCCTCTATAGCCAGTTTTTATGTGGGTGAGGGAAGAGAGCAAGAGAGAAAGCAAACAGACATGGAAAGATATTTTTTAAAATGTAAACTATAAAGTACAGTATTTAATAAAATAAGTGCATGACTATACCATGTTTTACTTATAGAAGTCACTACATGTATTATCCAAAGATCATCCTTGACAGAATGTTAAAATGAAACCAGATTCTTCCTGTCCCTGCCTATTAGTGTAGTCTCAGAGAAGGCAAACTAAGTTCAATGTTAGCCTAAGCCAAATGTGGAGGCAAATCTAATGCTAAATAATTTTTAAGACCAAAACAGAGGAGAAAAAGGAAGGAGAAAAATCTAATGATTTTTTCATTTTATTTTCTAGTCACCTTCTATAGGATAACGCTATAATTCTCTGAAAATAAATGGTTAAGAATTATTCACTGTTTTGTATTTTATGCTACTCAATTCTATCAACCAGATAGGAGATAAAAATATCCATTAGTTAAAAAAAAAAAAAAAGTGCTTTTAAAATGTAAAGTGATTATTGTTAGCACACAATATGGAGGGTTATATATTCATACAATTACTGCATTTTCCTATATGCTCACCTCTGACATATCATGCACGAGCAAGAGAGGAATACTTATTGTTGTGATGTCGTGGGTGCAGCAAACCTTGAGTATGTTTCGGAGCCCCATAATGGCAGGATCGCGAGCAGTGATGTTTCCAGATTTCACATTGTCATCCACACAAAGATGAAAAGCAACATGGATTTCTGAGAGATTAGAATGCCTTGTAATGTAAAATTCTCCTGTGAACAACAAACGCAACCATGATTTTCAAATGGCTAAATCACACCATCAATGGAGAGCACAAAGAGCTGGAATGGGCAATCAATGAACCAAACTAGTAGAGGTGAATCAGGAACCTATGTTGGGTTCCGGAAGCAATTATAATTACTGCATATAAATTCTTGGAGAGAAAGTGATGGAAAAAGAAGCAATAGCCACTCTTGCATTAGGTTCATAAGTTGGTTATGAAGTAACCACCACGTAGTAAGTAAATCAAATGAGTATTCATTATTTCTATGTTGATGTCAATGCTCAGTATCCCACTTAACTCAAACTTATGTAAAAACAGGTTACTTGACTACCTGTCATCCCCAAACCCTAAATCTGCTCTTTTCCATCTCAATTTATGGGTCTGATTTCTGTCCAGTTATTTGCTCAGGACAGAAACACAGAAGTTGCCTTTCATTACTTTTTTTCTCTCCATGTGTCTGCCCAATCCCCAATCCAATTCACCACCAACTATTTTCAGTAACATCTCCAAAAAATATCTCAAATATGAGCACTCCATTTTTACTGCTATCACCTAGTCATGCTACCATCACCTCTCACCTAGGTTTTTGTAATAGCCTCTTTAAAAAAAAAAATATTTTATTGAAATTTTACAGAGAGGGAGAGTGATAGAGAGCTAGAAACGTCCATGAGAGAGAAACATCGACCAGCTGCCTCTTGCACACCCCCTACCAGGGATGTGCCCGCAACCAATGTACATGCCCTTGACCGGAATCGAACCTGGGACCTTTCAGTCCACAGACCGACGCTCTACCACTGAGCCAAACCGGCTTCGGTTGTAATAGCCTCTTAATGAATCTGTTTCCATTGTTGCCCATAGGGCAGGCAAATAATTTATATGTAAATCACATTATATCAACCCCCTACATAAAATCCCCCAACAGGCTCACAGCACATTCAGAAAAAAGTTCAAATGCTTTACTGTGATCTGCAAGGTCTATATGATTTGGACACTGCCTATCTGTCTGACATCCTCTTGTCTCAATCTCTCTCTTCCTGCCCAGCCACACTGGCTTTTGTTCAGTTCTGCAAACATGTATAGCTTGTTCCCAATTCCGGCTGCTTTGTGAAAGGTATCCCCAGGATTTTTGTAGGGCTGACTTTTCATTAATCATGTCTCAGATCAAAAGCCACCTCCTTAGAGAGGCTTCCTTGACTGTTCCAGGGGCTGGAGGACTTCCTCACCTCTCACTTCTCTTTCACGTTGTTACATTTTATTCTATTCCTGACAATGAGATTTGCATTGTTTATGAGCTTATTTTAAAGAGACCATTTGTTTACACTCCATAACTGGGAACTTTGTCTATCTTGTTTAATGTTCTATCCCTAGCACACAGAAGAGTACCTGGTACACAGAAGGTAGTTAATAAATATTTGTTGAATGAATGGATGAACAAATGTCTTAGACCGAATTTTAGAGCAGTGCTCATCGAAACTTAAAATCCATCACTTCCTACAATCATTGCATTTTCTATGTAGCCACATTAGCTACAGAATATAAAATCTCATCAGCTTTTATATTCTACAGTTTGTCATATAAAGAAACAAAATATAAAACATAAAGAATATGTTTTAAAAAATATACATTGTTGCCAGGAAATTCTGGTATGTCCTTCTAGGGAAGCTGTGCTCTTCTAAGAAGTATTCTATCACTAACCCCGGCCCCACACAGTCTTCTTACCTTGGCTTCAAAGTCACCATCTCAGGATTTTACTTATACGTACTTATTAACAAATAGTATAGTTAAAGGTACTCAATGTACTTTAGCACAATGTTTAACCATTTCTAGTTACCAGTGTACATGAATTATATCAATGAATGCCACTGACAGGCCCCAGGAAGTATTTTTCTTTTTAACTTAAGATAAAAGAATTAGATAAGCAGAAAAATGAATTAAAGAAAAAAAAAAAAGCAGAGACATAAACATGAAAATAAACTAGTCAAATAAAAAGCTTAAAAAATTATCTGATGAAAAATAGTTTTGTCACAATTTTCTGGAAGGCAATAAAAGACACAAGTAGCTTAGTAGAAACCCGGATGACTCTCTCTGAGACCATATACTTCTGGGCCCAATGAAATGCACCACCTCCTAAACTCCTCTGATCATTGTGATGCAGGTCTTACAGGAAATATGGCCATGGCCCAGCAGTGAGGCAGATGACTTAGTGAGCAGTCGCTCCTAACCCCCACATCGCTTCGGGTGACCTTAGAACCCCTGTCACTAGGCTTCATTTTACCCATTAGTAAAAGGGGGGTTGTGGAGCTGGCAGTATTAATGACAGCAATATAATATTGTAGAAAAAGGACTAGATTGGGCATTAAGAAGATCTGCCTCTAGCACTTATTGGCTGAGTGATCTTAGGTAAATCAATTCAACTTATAGATCCTTTGTACATCATGTATAAAATGAAAAAAATAATGCCGGTCTGCTTTTCTTGCAAAGTAGTTGTGAGAATTAGATGATATAGACTGTAAATACTTAGATTATTTTAAAGCAAATGATAAAGCAAAACTACTAATTAAAAATTATATGAATAAAATATTTTTTCTTTGCAATTTAAAAAATGTAAAGCTTTTGTGATTTGGATCTTTTTTCTGTTTACTTCCTAGCTGTGTAGGCATTCTTTAATTAAACAGAAATTCAGATCCTACCTGCATATCTAGTTGAAGAGCTTAATATTCCTTTCTTAATGCAGACTTAATGGCATAGTTTCCTGATTTGTGGTGATAATGAGATACTAATCTATTGGCTTTTTCTAAAAAGGAACAAGGAAGGAAATAAACATAGCAATAAAGAGTTAAGTTTTTGCCCTGGATGTGTTTTCACAAGGGTTAGAGTACTGGCAGAAGGGTTGCAGGTATGACTGATTCCCAGTCAAGGGCACATACTTCAGTGGTGGGCTTCATCCCCAGCTCCGGTTGGGGCTTGTGCAGGAGGCAGCCAACCGGTGTGTCTCGCTCACATTTGATGTCTCTCTCTCTCTCTCTCTCTCTGTCTCTTTCCCTCCCTCTCTCCTGCTTCCCTCTCATTCTCTCTAAAAATCAATGGAAAAAATATCATCCAGTGAGGATTAACAAAAAGAAAAAAACACACAGTTGAGTTTAAAAACAAAAACAGAAACAGACAATGGTACTTCCGGAGATATTAAGATTGGTACATTTTAAGAAAACCACAAAACATGGATAATTTAAATTATGGATCTATGAAGAGAAATATAATGAGTCCTGTCTCAATGAAGGTATTTTTAGATAGAGAGGAGGACAGTTTCCTGTTCCACAAAGTGGTGATGCAATCCGGCCTCTAACATTATCCACTAAGGTAGGATATCTGAAGGTGGAAGGAAATTCAGAAGCTGATGACCACAAGTTAACTAAGACTGACAAGTTAATTCCAGAAATGGCTATGGTATTTTCCTAGATTCAATGGAATGTGACCTACACGTAGAAAACCTGGGAAGGTAATATGAAGAAACAACCTTGGCTATTTATGAAACTACAAAATATACCATTTAGTTTAAGAGACTTTACACTTATAAAGTAAACAGATAGGCCTTCCTTGTTATGCCCTGTCATAAAAACACTATTAAGGATCATCAGAGTGAATCCAATCTGGGATAGGACCAAGAGACTGAATATTCAGATTATATACTACTAGAGACCCGATGCATGAAATTGATGCAAGAGTAGGCCTTCCTTCCCTCAGCTGCCTGCACCAGATTCCCTCTAGCACCCAGGACCCAGGCTTCCCTTGCAGCCCCTGCTTTATCCAGAAGATTGTCCAGAAGGACATCCAATCTAATTAGCATATTATGCTTTTATTATTATAGATATACCCAAGATAATAAGGAAATGAAAGAAATGTAAAGTGAATAAGTTGATGGGAAAATAGAAAGATTTTAAGTTAGATGACCCATCTTCTCTCACAAGTTCAACTGTTTATGCCATTGTTTATGTTTCAGAATAAAATTATTTCTTGGTTCATTAAAGAAACTAAGAAATCAATGTATGAAAAAAGAAATCTAAAATAGCAAATAACAATAAGGCTTATGCAACTACTTGAGCAAGTTTTCTTATACGGATCTAGAAAACTCAGTGCTAATTATAAGATTTAAGTTGCAGAACATCTGTGAAAGTATACTATATAGATATGATGCTGTTTTAAAATGATACACTGACAAACTTTTTATGAAGTATGCCATAAGAACTAATGTTTCAAATCTGATTTCAATGTTTCCTATTTAATAAAGAGGGGATATGCAAATTGACCATCACACTATAACAAGATGGCTGCACCCACAGCTAAAGCAGCGATTCTGTAACACAAGATGGCTGTGTCCACAGAGGAGGCTGAATTCCCGTTATGAGCCTTCATGAGCAATCAGAAGGGACCTGAGGCTGCACCACCTGCCTGGTGGGGCTTGACAGGGGACGACCTCATGCAGGGCCAGGCAACCTGAGGCAATGCCTCCCACCTGGTGGGGCTTGACCGGGGTGGGGCCGGCTGGGTCTGTATGTAGGCCAATGGTGGTGGGGCCAGCTGGGTCAGGGTCTTGTGTGATTTTGAGGCACATGTAGGTGGGCGGGGACTTGATTCTGGTTTCTGTGGTGCACCCCAGACTCTGACAGGAGGAAGATTTTCATATACATTTTACTAATTTTTTTTCATCTCTGACACTTCTATTACAGAGAAAGGGCAATAGCAATATTAAAATATTTCTTCTAATTAATTCTCTTTTAATGTGCATGAATTTGTGTATCAGGTCACTAGTCTGATAAGAAAATTACAATTTGAAATAATACTTACCAGGTAAAATATTTAAATAGTTTCTATCAGCATTTTTAGACTTATCTTCACTTCCTCCATTTCGGTTTCCAGAATCTATTAATAAGATAATGGAACATGAAAGACTATCACAACATATAAAAACACATTACTACTACTATTCCTCAAGCAATCATGACAGCAAACATTTATTAGGAATCTCTAATAAATTTATTAGGTGCCAGGCATTCTGAAGCATGCTTTACATCAGGAATGGGGAACATCTAGCCCACAGGCCACATAAGGCCCACAAAATCATTCGGTCTGACCCTGCCAAGGCACTAGGGGTGAGTTAATTAAATGTTTAACCAAATAGAGCAAGCTAATTTTTAAGTTGATAATTTTGTATGGCCCATGAATGATGTTATAAATACCCAATGGCCCTTGGCAGAAAGAAAGTTCCCCACTACTGCTTTACATGGATGGTGGTCTCATTTCATTTTTTAAAAAATGTCAATAACAACAACGTTATGAGTTAAGTACTTTTAGTACTTCGTTTATATTTGAGGAAACAGAGACTTCATAGGTTAATTAACTTATCCAAGAATGTGCAGGCAAGTGGTGTAACCAGGAATGAACCTACATATACAGATCCCAAATCCTCTGATCTTAACCACATTAGTTTTGCCAATACCCTATTTTTCTGAGAGGTTCAAAGCACTAAGTTAACAACACATAAAATAACTTCATTAGATAGTTGTCATGTGGCCATTTTTATTTTTAGAATCTGAGTCACTGTTTTTTATATAACTTGTACAGAACTATAAACAAATGGTTAGTAGCACCAGGAATCTCTTTACTTATACTTTGACATTATATACAATTTACTTCAAACAGATATGTAAGTTTCTGTTTCAAATGGAGCAATTTTTTTCAGGTAGTCAATAGCTATTCTTTGTAGAAGGCATGATATTACTTAAAAGGATACATGTTAGTAAAATGAGATACATCACAATAGACCACACGTTATTATGGTTATATATGAATTATTTTACATATACACATATTTTTTTAATTATTGATTTTTTACAGAGAGGAAGGGAGAGGGATAGAGAGTTAGAAACATTGATGAGAGAAGCATCGATCAGCTGCCTCTTGCACACCCCCTACTGGGGATGTGCCCGCAACCAATGTACATGCCCCTGACCGGAATCGAACCTGGGACCTTTCAGTCTGCAGACCGATGCTCTATCCACTGAGCCAAACCGGTTTCGGCATATATACACATATTTTTAATAGAAGATACATATGAATTTTATAAGAATTCTATCAGAAATCAATAAAATGCAGAATAAATATTAACATTTAAAGTAGCACTTTTTAAGAAGCAGTATATTGATTCCAATTAAATACAAAACTATTTGGAATAGCCTTTGGCATCAGAAAATCACTTGAAAAGAGTCAGAACTTCAAATAAATAAACTGCACATACCAAGGGAATATCATGGTTTCAAGAAAGTGCTGAATAAAAATAACTAAATATTTTTACCTAGGAACTACTTTAATGAATTGATTTATAACATCATACCTTGTAAACACATATATTTTATGAATGGACAGAGGGAGAGAGAGGCACAAAGAGAAGGAAGACTCTGTGTTGCCAGAATCCATTATTTAATGTAATAGGTCAGTTTCTCATTCAGAGCCATGTAATTGATAGGCTCTGAATACATATCTGATCATAGCACAGAAAACAAAATAAAACAAAACAATAATTAAGGACTTTAATCTTGCTCACATAAGGTATGAACAAACAGAATTCCTGTTCAGTAAACAAGAGAGAATAGTTCATAGTCCATTTTCCTTTCCATGCTTTTTTTTCTCCTTAGAGAGAGGGAGTGAGGGGGGGGGGGGGGAAGAGAGAGAGAAAGAGAGAGAGAGAGAGAGAGAGAGAGAGAGAGAGAGAGAGAGAGAGAGAGAGAGAGAGAGAGAGAAACATTCACTAGTTGCTTCTCATACATGCCCCAATTGGGGCTGAACTTGCAACCAATTGGGGCTGTATGAGCCCTGACCGAGAATTGAAGCCATGACCTTTTGGTGTACAGGTAAACGCTCCAACCAACTAAGCCACACCGACCAAGACTCCCTTTCCATGTTTACTAAGAAAATGGCCATTTTTAATTTTTTTAAATGCATATAAAATATGTACAAAAAACATTGTTTTTGTGGGAATATAATAAACACAGTAAAGAAAACAATGGAATGTCTTAGAATAAAAAGGTACTTGTATATCAGGATATAAATGTGTAGAACAAATGTGGGCATGCACAGAAAAGGAAAAGACAGAGAAAATATTTTAAAAAAAACAACTGTTCTGTAACAACATGCTAGTTCCTTTAAGAAAGTTGTCTTTTACAAACCTACTTGTTTCACTGACTCACTTAAACCACAAAATAGTTGCTTGAACAAAAACAAAATAGTACCATGATGTACACACATTGCCTTAAGTGTATGTGGTTTAAAAACTTCCTGTCATTTTACTGCACTCTTGCTATCTCTCACAAATATACTTAGAATCCTCCTTCTGCCACACCTGTCATGATCTCAATTTTCATGTTTTAGTCACTACTAAGAATAATATTAAAATGTTAGTGATCACATCATTTCTGGTTTTGAAAGAGATGGAGGAAGATGGTAGATGAATAAGAGGGCACACTGAAATTTTCCAAATGTTCCCGGTTAGGATATGCTTCCATAACCAATTTCCTAGTACTCAGCCTAGCTGTTCAGCTTTTGGTCTTCCCTCACTAACCCCCCCTGCCAGCCTGGCTGCCCCACACAGCCTGTGTTTGGTCATCCATCCGGTGGTTTCGGTTGTGACAGCCCCTGGCTTTTTATATATTAGAATTAATACTTACAAGAGGCCTGATGCACGAGCTGAGGATCTTGTACAAAATTATGCTAAAAAGGGAATTAAGAACAAAATCTAAGCTCCTAAAGATATTGAATTTTATTCTTAATTTCTTTTTTCTACCTCTTTTTGTATTTCAATTATGGCCCATATGCTATTAGAGTGTCTAGGGACATATCATTATAAGAGTGAAATTTTTAAAAATTTGAGTTTCACTGACCATGTGATTCTTTCAACTTACTCCTGCGCTGGGTTCTAGCATAAAGTACCACCTGCTGGACAACTTCCAGTTGTTCTTCAATTCGAGGAAAATGAAAGTCAGTGCACTCTTGGCAAACTGTGGCAAAATCTAAGGAACCCAAAACATGTATAAACTTTAAAGGTGAACTATCAATATTTAGTATTTACTTACAGTAAGGAGAACTGATTAATAAAATATAAAATTCACAAGTATGATTTCTAATACTTGTCCTTTCAACAATTATGTCTTATGAAGTTAAAGTACAGCAATTGTTTTTATCGAAGCAATCTTTCAATCACTCAAAAGAGTAAACAATAGACAAGAAAATTTTAAGGTGATTCCAAACCTTCTTTAAATAACAGATACTTTGACTTCATAATCCAGTCACAAATAGACTCTATTCAAGCTTCTTTTAAAAAGTTATATATTTTAAAACAGCTTATATATTGAAATTTTAAAAGTAATCATAAAAAATAGGTTGTATTCTGAGGGAAGGTATACATTTTACCTAGCACATTTAAGAAATAGATTATTTAAAAAACAAAAAGGTACAAATGGATAAGTTAAAAATCACTAAAGCCAGGATCTGTTTCTAAATTGAAGCTACATTTATATCTTTTTTTTTTTAAGCTATTGCTGTGTTTTTGTTTTTTTAAAAAATATATTTTTATTGATTTCAGAGAGGAAAGGGGGACAGAGATAGAAACATCAATAATGAGAGAGAATCACTGATTGGCTGCCTTCTGCACAACCCCCATTGGGGATGGGCTTGCAACCAGGGCATGTGCCCTTGAGCGGAATTGAACCCAGGATGCTCTAGCCACTGAGCCAAACCAGATAGGGCTACATTTATATCTTATTCTTTTTGTTGTACCTTGAAACTAGGAACCATAAGAGCGTTGTTTACAATATAATGCAATTTTAGAAAAATTAAATATTCTAAAGCACCATGCCCATGTTAAAGCTTGAAACAAATCTAAAATAGCTGTGGCCTGGTAGATTGTTATTTGATCTACTTGAACTCTGGGATGACTAAAACATTTTTTCAACTTTTTCATAATTTAATTTTTTCTTTGTGAGAATGGTATTTAAAAAATAAATTTAATGAAATAAATATGTATAATGTTAACTTACCTCTTTTAATACCACTATATGAATTAATTCTATTATCTACTAGTAAAACCAGGCCACAGAGCGATGTGGAATAAAGTGACAGAGCTGTCTGGAGTCGATGAAGTTTCACACCACTTCGATGATTTCTTTTGTGCTTACAGAAATCCAGCATATCTGCTCTCAGCAATCTCAAATTATGCATGGTCTTCAACTGAGCACCTAGGGGATACAGGCAACAATCCCAGAAAAATACTTAGCAGCAAATTCCTATGACAATCATCCAGATAAATCTGTGCTACAAATTACTGAAAATAGGCTTTGCAATTTCCCAATTTGTAACTAGTAATATTGAATCTTTCTATTTGCAAAAAATAACATATAAACTAAAACTTATAGCCAAAAATCTGTAAGCTTTTTTTGGAGCAGGATAAGTATTAAAACTAACATAGTATGTTTTACTCATATGCTGGGAAATTTTCTTGTAGCATACTAAAAGCTTCAGAACTTATAATAAATTATGACTGGAAAAGATTAATATACTTACCTAAGTGAATGGTAAAACTTTCTTCTAACTTTCTCTGTTCCTCATAAATCCTTCCATTTGGTTCTACTGATTCTCTGAACTGACTTGGTTGAACTTTAATTTCTTCACTGAAATTAATAAAATTATTGATTTGGGGGGATGTCTATCAAGAACTTTAAAACTTTTCTTTTAAAGAAAAGAAAACTTTCTAATGAAATGACTAACAGCTCAGAGTATTTATTACTTTATTCCTAAACTTAATTTATTCCTAAACTTATCCTTATTCCATGATGACAAGTAAGATAATAAGTACCAAGAGGTTCTAAAATTCCCACTTGTTCTTTCATTTCCTCACAGTAAATAATGCATACCATTCATTTTCAGTCACTACCATATCAATTCTATATTATCATTTAATATTTCTTCGTGGCCTAAGAGAATGATTAAAAGAAGTGACCAACTTATTACTTTAAAAATAACATTTAATAAACAACACTGAAAAAAGAGATAGAGGAAGACATAAACAGATGGAAGAACATACCATGTTCATAGATTGGTAGAATCAACATCATCAAAATGTCTATACTACCCAAAGCAATCTATAAATTCAAGGCATTTCCCATTAAAATACCAACCGCATATTTCAAAGACCTAAAACAAACTTTCCAAAATTTCATCTGAATAAAAAAAGATACCGAAAAGCTACAGCAATCCTGAGAAAAAAGAACAAAGTAGGAGGGATCTCAATACCAGATATGAAGCTATATTACAAAGCCACTGTTCTCAAAACAGTGAGAAATCCATCCAAATCGCTATGCTCAATTAATATTTGACAAAGGAGGCATGAACATACAATGGAGTCAAGACAGTCTCTTCAATAAATGGTGTTTGGAAAATTGAACAGATACATGCAAAAAAATGAAAGTAAACCACAAATTTACACCATACACAAAAATAAACTCAAAATGGATCAAGGACTTAAACAGAAGATGGGAAACCATAAAAATACTAGTGGAATCTATAGGCAGAAAAATATCTGACATATGCCAAAACAATTTCTTCACTGATACTGCTCCTAGGGCAATGGAAACTAAAGAGAAAATAAACAAATGGGACTATATAAAAATAAAAAGCTTTTGTACAGCAAAGGAAACCATCAATAAAACAACAATGCATGGGAGAACATATTTGCCAATGATATCAATGATAAGGGTTTAATCTCCAACATTTATATGATACTCATGCAGCTTAACAAAAAGATAAACAACCCAATCAAAAAATGGGTAACATATTCTAAATATACACTTTTTGAAAGAAGACAGAAGGACGTCCAAGAGACATATGAAAACCTGCTCAAAGTCACTAATCATCAGAGAGATGCAAACCAAAACAACAATGCAGTATCATCTCACACCTATTATCAACAAGTCAACAAATGTCAAGTGCTGGTGAAGATGCGAAGATGCAGAGAAAAAGGAACCCTCAGGCACTGCTGATGGGAATGCAGACTGGTGCAGCCACTGTGGAGAATAGTATGGAGTTTCCTCAAAAAATAAAAAATGGAAATCCCATTTGACCCAGTGACCCCACTTCTAGGAATATATCCCAAAAAACTAAAAACATCAATCAGAAAGGATATATGCACCCCTATGTTCATAGCAGCATAATTCACCATAGCTAAGATTTGGAAACAGGCTAAGTGCACATCAGCAGATGGAGTGGATTAGAAAACTGTGGTATATCTACACAATGGAATACTATGCTGCGGTAAAAAAGAAGGAGCTTTTACCATTTGCAACAACATGAATGAAGATGGAGAACATTATGCTTAGTGAAATAAGCCAGGCAGAGAAAATATCACATGATCTCACTCATTTGTGGAATATAATGAACAATATAAACTGATTGGGGGAAAAAATAGATTCAGAAACAAAGAAACATCAGTCAGAACGTCAAACCTCAGGGAAGAAATGTGAGGTAACCAGAAACTCAAGAATGTCTGAGAATGCCTTTCATTACATGTTATGCAATTTTATCATGAGATGAACTACCAATAAAAATTTTAGTTAACACTTGAGGAACTGCTTTTTGTCCAGTACAATTAATTATTCTAGAATATTTGCTTATTTCAATTAGCCAATTTAAATTAGCCTGAAAACTTGACTACTATTTTATTTGTCAAATTTAATACTTAAACAACAATTTTATTTTACCCTGTAAATATTAGTGGAAAGGATTATTTGCCTTCTTGAGTAGGCCCTGAGCATTCCTGGTGGTAGGCTGGATTTAGATATAAAAAACGCTCCCTCAGGCCAGCCCCACACCTGATTGCCGCCCCTACCCCAATAGGTGACAGGGCCAGCCAGCCAACCACCCATGGCCCTTCCACCAGGCTGCTGGCCCCTGATCGCCCCCTCTCCCCCCACAGCCAGCCAGCCCACCACTCACAGCCCATCCTGTGGCTGACCCCACCCCTGATCAGCCCTCACCACCCCAATTGGCCCAAGGTCCCTCCCCCTAGCCAGCTCCACCCCTGATCATCCCTCCCCACAACACCAGTCAGGGGTGGGAATGGTTGGCCAACTTCCCATGGCTTTTGGGGCGGGGCCAGCCAGCCTACAGCCTGCAGCCTTCCCCCCAGCCGGCCTGACCCTGATTGGCCAGCTGGCCAACCTCCATCATCTCCTCTTTCTGACAGGCCCAGCCCTGATATGCCCATTGGTACCTGGCCAGCCGGACCCCATCCATGCACAAATTTGTGCACTGGACCTCTAGTTATAATTATAAGAAATATTGATCATGCTCTGTTAACTATGATGGTTCTGTTCTGATTAGAGAAGGCACATTTTAACCTGGCTAAGAGTTGTATGCCCTGGGACATGGGAGTTAATACTGGAATGCAGTCCATTCTCCTTTTCTGAGAACTGCCTATCATCAAGGAAAGATTAACAACCTTGTTGCTAAAACAATCTGGTCCTGAGACACTAGCCCTTTGTGACTCCCTTCCCACCAGCCCGCATTGCCTGTAACCTGTAACATTATATGTTGCCTATTTCCCCATGCCTGTAATCCCTACTTTTCCATGTAATCTTTGTCCTTTTACCCAATATAAGCAGCTGGCTGTGGAGAAGGGTAGAGCAAATTTTCATAGATTACCTGCTGCTCTACCATACTGCTGGCATTAATGAAATAAATGCTTATATATGACTTAACCCTGTCTCTGCTTAATTGGTGACAGGCAGTCTGGACCCACTGGTTGTCTAGTTTCAGTATGCTGAAGATGAATTAAGCCTGTAACAGTCATACATTCGCCTAACTACATTTTTTTTTTTTTTTTGGTTAATCCAAGCAGTCTTATTAGTCTTACTGGCTTCATTAGTATATGGCAAATATAAACCTAAAGATAAATTTATATTAATAAAATACCTCATTTTAGGATATAAAAAGTCACAAGAGAATGTTATCCCATTCTAATAAGTCCAATCTATAATAATAAAAGCAGCCTTAACTGGTTTGGCTCTATTAGTGGATAGAGCATTGGCCTGTGGATCGAACAGTCCCAAGTTCGATTATGGTCAAGTGCATGTAACTTGGTTGTGGGCACATCCCCAATAGGGGGTGTGCAAGAGGCAGCTGATCGACGTTTCTCTCTCATCAATGTTTCCAATTCTCTATTCCTCTCCCTTCCTCTCTGTGAAAAATCAATAAAATATATTTTAAAAAATAATAAAGTATAAACAAAATATTAAAACATCTAGTGTAAAACAATACACAATGGCAGATGAAGAATTTCAGCAGAAAACAAATAGAAGAACTAGAAATAATACATGATATCAGATCAGTGGTAATAGATATCAATACCTTTTACATGCTCATAAGAAGACCAACAACTTATATTATGATGCAACCATTACCCTGATATCAGAACCAAATGAAGGTATTATAAAAACAAAACAAAACTAGAGACCAACATGTAATAGTATAGTAGGTATACTTATTTATTTTATAGTGGATAATTTCTTATATTTATATAGAATATAATATACATCATCACTTATATGACTAAACTTATCTATAAAATTTCTAGAAGAAAACATAGGAGAAAATGTTTGTAATCTTGGATTAGGCAAATATATCTTAGCTAAGATACAAACCACTTAATAACTGATAAATTGCATTTAATTAAAAACGAAAAGCTGCCGAAACTGGTTTGGCTCAGCAGTAGAGCATCGGTCTGTGGACTGAAAGGTCCCTGGTTCAATTCCGGTCAAGGGCATGTACATTGGTTTTGAGCACATCCTCGGTGGAGGGGGGGGGGTGGTGGTAGTGCAAGAGGCAGCTGGTCGATGTTTCTCTCTCATTGACATTTCTACCTCTCTATCTCTCTCCCTTCCTCTCTGTAAAAACTCAATAAAATATATTAAAAACAAAAAGCTTTGCTTCTCAAAAGATACTATCCTATATAATAAAGAGGTAATATGCAAATTGACCATCACACCCTTGTACAAGATGGCTGCCCCCATGTGGTCACAAGATGGTCATCAGAGGAGGGAAGTTAGGGGAGACCAGGTTGCAGGGAAGGGCAGTTGGGGGTGACTGGGCCAGCAGGGAAGGGCAGTTGGGGGCAACTGGGCCAGCAGCGGAGCAGTTAGGCATCAGTCAGGCTGGCAGGGGAGTGGTTAGGGGCAATCAGGCAGGCAGGCAGGTGAGCGGTTGGAAGCCATCCGTCCTGGATTGTGAGAGGGATGTGCAATTGCTGGCAGTCAGACATCCCCTGAGGGGTCCCAGGTTGGAGAGGGTGCAGGTTGGGCTGAGGAACACCCCCTCCCCCAGTGCATGAATTTCATGCACCAAGCCTCTAGTCTCCCTCTCTCTCTCTCTCTCTCTCTCTCTCTCTCTCTCTCTCTCTCTCTCTCTCTTTCTTTCTCTCTCTCTCTCTCTCTCTCTCTCTCTCTCTCTCTCTCTATATATATATATATATATATATATATGTATATATATATATATATGGCTAATATACAAAGTGTCCCCTTGGGAGTTTGACCAGGTGGGAAACCAGGAGTTCAATCGCTCACTATGGCATACACTGACCACCAGGGGGCGGCACAGAACATTCTAGGTGATCAAC